CTGTTCTGGGCTACTGTAGAAACATGGCGGTGCAACATGGCAGATTCTGTTGACGAGTACTTGCTCTGTATATTGGTATTAACTGTTTATTTTACAATAATGAAAACACAAAAGTTCTTATTTTTTAGGTGATTACACTGTAAAGAAAACCTACTGATATTATATTCCATTTCTGCGAGTATATCCCTCTAAATCCTACACACTGGACCTTTAAATAGTTGCTATTTCTTCATTTTAAATAAACACTTTTACTTATTTTTCTTTAGGTTTCATCATTTCTCTTTTTCAGGAATGTGGCAATTGGGGCTACTGCGATATTTTGAAGTCCATTATGGGCTGAGGTGTAACCCACTTCAACTCCAATTTTTACAATTAAATTAATTGTAAATTTTAGTTTAAAAACTGACAGAAATCCATCTCCATAAATCTTTGTTCATGAAAAACATGCCTCATGTTAACTCTCTTCTTTATGAACACTCAGTCTTGACAGCGACTGTTGTGTGTGTGTGTGTGTGTGTGTGTGTGTGTGTGTGTGTGTGTGTGTGTGTAATATCACTGGGTGCCAGTGGGGTTACAATCATGTTTTCCTCTCTGATATTCCCCAGGTTTTTGTTAGCGAGGCATCTCGACTGTTGACAGCTAATGGAATTGCTCTTCACCTCTTGTGTGTATGATCCCGCGGAGATAAGGCAGGAAATGAATGTGGAATCTGTGCTGTCAGTTGTGAGGCTGAGACGTCTTGGAAGCCGTCATTCATGTTCGGGGGAAATGTCTGAAACTGTGCGAGCGAATCCTCTGACATGTTAGACCCTGTCTACCCGTCGGAGCCCCTGCCTGGCAGCTGACAAATGTTGATTCTACATTAACCACAATGCTGCAACGCTGTGCAAATAATGTTCTTTCAGATGGCAACCCTCATCCCCTTTATGGCTAAAACTATGCAATCCTCCCCACCTGTGCAGTTTAACACCTTTGAAAAGTAAAGGTGGGAAGGGGGGGGGGGGGGGGGGGGGGGGGTGGGTGAGAAAGGAGATGGGAGTGAGCCCAAAGTCTCCTGTTCTTTCACCCTGTAGAACATAAACCGCTCCACGTAGTTTTCTAGAGCCAAACCACTGTGCAAAAGAAGTCAAAGAAAGAAAAGCTTGTTGGAGTTTCACACAGGATGGTGTCTAACAGAGCTTTAGACATATAGAGGGAGATATAGAGAGGGGGGGGGGGGGGGGGGGGGGGGGGCGGGGTGGCAAACTGTCTTGCACAACACAGTAGTCTCTTTATTTGGCAGTGCCTGGGAAGGCCGAGGCCTCTCGCTGCCCGAGTCGACCTAAGCAACAGCTGGTGTTCACAGCAACATTTCCTATTTCTGCCTAAGGTGGATCGTGTAACTCTCACTTTATCACCCTTAGAGGCCACGTGAAGGACAAAGCCAGCACGCTCATAAACAAAACTAATGTTTTCATACTGGCCCCTTTGGAGATTGATAGAAGGATCTGTGGTACTTTTAATGGCTCCCTTGCCACCACTGGTACATCACAAAAAATCTCTTACCAGTACCAATGGTTTTCACCAAGGCTGGGATCTAAAACTGGTAGCTCTTCTTACATCTTGTGATAATGTGTATCAGTAATCTGGAGTCCCTGAGGGGGATACTCTTCATCTCCCATTATAACAGATTTAACTACTGTATCTACTTCCTGTGCCTCTAGTCCAAGAGTTAGAGCCACAGACTCCTTTCTGTGGCTCTAACTTTCCTGGAAAAGTAGTCAGAGATGAGGAGGTGATAGGAGCTTTATTTCAACTGTGGCCTGAAAATGAAAAACGACCACTCTCTGGTGTGTCATGATTTAACTTTATCAAACTTTTTTATTGATGATTGTGACATTTATTTATGAGTTTCCATTTGCAAACCTAATTTGTCTAAAAATAGTTAAAACAGAGCAGTGGAAACACAGCCAGGCAGTGTGCTTCATTAGCTTTATTATTACTGTTCTGTGATAAGGAGTGTGTGATCACACACCACAGTGCCTTACCCGTGTTTATCTGGTTTATATACAGTACAGGCCAAAAGTTTGGACACACCTTCTCATTCAATGCGTTTTCTTTATTTTCATGACTATTTACATTGTAGATTCTCACTGAAGGCATCAAAACTATGAATGAACACATGTGGAGTTATGTACTTAACAAAAAAAAGGTGAAATAACTGAAAAAATGTTTTATATTCTAGTTTCTTCAAAATAGCCACCCTTTGCTCTGATTACTGCTTTGCACACTCTTGGCATTCTCTCCATGAGCTTCAAGAGGTAGTCACCTAAAATGGTTTTCCAGCAGTCTTGAAGGAGGTGTTTAGCACTTGTTGGCCCCTTTGCCTTCACTCTGCGGTCCAGCTCACCCCAAACCATCTCGATTGGGTTCAGGTCCGGTGACTGTGGAGGCCAGGTCATCTGCCGCAGCGCTCCATCACTCTCCTTCTTGGTCAAATAGCCCTTACACAGCCTGGAGGTGTGTTTGGGGTCATTGTCCTGTTGAAAAATAAATGATCGTCCAACTAAACGCAAACCGGATGGGATGGCATGTCGCTGCAGGATGCTGTGGTAGCCATGCTGGTTCAGTGTGCCTTCAATTTTGAATAAATCCCCAACAGTGTCACCAGCAAAACACCCCCACACCATCACACCTCCTCCTCCATGCTTCACAGTGGGAACCAGGCATGTGGAATCCATCCGTTCACCTTTTCTGCGTCTCACAAAGACACGGCGGTTGGAACCAAAGATCTCAAATTTGGACTCATCAGACCAAAGCACAGATTTCCACTGGTCTAATGTCCATTCCTTGTGTTTCTTGGCCCAAACAAATCTCTTCTGCTTGTTGCCTCTCCTTAGCAGTGGTTTCCTAGCAGCTATTTGACCATGAAGGCCTGATTCGCGCAGTCTCCTCTTAACAGTTGTTCTAGAGATGGGTCTGCTGCTAGAACTCTGTGTGGCATTCATCTGGTCTCTGATCTGAGCTGCTGTTAACTTGCCATTTCTGAGGCTGGTGACTCGGATGAACTTATCCTCAGAAGCAGAGGTGACTCTTGGTCTTCCTTTCCTGGGTCGGTCCTCATGTGTGCCAGTTTGGTTGTAGCGCTTGATGGTTTTTGCGACTCCACTTGGGGACACATTTAAAGTTTTTGCAATTTTCCGGACTGACTGACCTTCATTTCTTAAAGTAATGATGGCCACTCGTTTTTCTTTAGTTAGCTGATTGGTTCTTGCCATAATATGAATTTTAACAGTTGTCCAATAGGGCTGTCGGCTGTGTATTAACCTGACTTCTGCACAACACAACTGATGGTCCCAACCCCATTGATAAAGCAAGAAATTCCACTAATTAACCCTGATAAGGCACACCTGTGAAGTGGAAACCATTTCAGGTGACTACCTCTTGAAGCTCATGGAGAGAATGCCAAGAGTGTGCAAAGCAGTAATCAGAGCAAAGGGTGGCTATTTTGAAGAAACTAGAATATAAAACATGTTTTCAGTTATTTCACCTTTTTTTGTTATGTACATAACTCCACATGTGTTCATTCATAGTTTTGATGCCTTCAGTGAGAATCTACAATGTAAATAGTCATGAAAATAAAGAAAACGCATTGAATGAGAAGGTGTGTCCAAACTTTTGGCCTGTACTGTATACTGTAGGTTTTTATAAATAATTAATAATATATTCTAATACGAAAAAAAGAATGCTTTTTTCCATTAGTATTTTTTCAATTTAGTCTATAAAATCTCATGAAACAGTAAAAAATGTCCATGTACACATTTTAAAATTCCAAAATGTTATCTTTAAATTGCCATTTTTGTCCAACCAACATACGAAATCCTAAAGATATTGATATTACAGAGATTTTAAAAAGCCTATCCCAGCTGACATTGGGTGAGAGGCAGGGTACACCCTGGACAGGTCACCAGACAATCACAGGGCTGACACATAGAGAGAGACAACCATTCACACTCACGTTCACACTTATGGCCAATTAAGAGTCACCAATTAACCTGCATGTCTTTGGACTGTGGGAGGAAGCTGGAGTACCCGGAGAAAACCCACACTGACATGGGGAGAACATGCAAACTCCACACAGAAGGGCTCCCCCACCCTGGGGTTGAACCAGGAACCCTCTTACTGTGAGATAACAGTGCTAACCATTGCACACAGTTTTCTCGTATTATTCAATTAGTATTTATAGCACTATTTAATTTCAGTAAACTGCACCAGAAATTATTGTTAATTTTTAATATTTTACTCCAGCTGTATAAATTGTTTACCTGTGTTATACTACTAACTTACTACTAATAATATTGGTTTACCTCCCCATCGTAGAAGTGGAAGGTAAATTCCCATTTTTCTTTCTAACTGTATTGGCGTGACTTTATATAAACATGTGTAATAAAAACACAAGCCTCGCCTTTCACACAACCTCTAACTGGCCCCTTGTGTCCATGTCCCATTGTAGTAACAGTTAACTCAGATCTCGGGCTCCCATTTGTCCCTGTGGCTCATTACTGGCTAGCGGCCTGGAGCCTCAGATGCACAGGCAACCCTCACTGACCTGATAACATTTATAGTTGTAATGGATTTTTTTATGCCTGTCATTAACTCGCTCAGAGATTGGAGAAAGAAATTGCTTGTACCTTTTTTTTCTGTGGTATTTCAACTTTATGGCATTATGTTCAGATATGTCACCTTCCATCATCTCTTTTTAAGGCCTGTCCTGTCACTGGTTTTGTTTTAAATGAGCAGGTCTTTTGTGCAGGACCCTTGTAGTATCTAGGACTTGTAATGAATATTTAATGATGTTGAGTAAAAGCTTTGAAAGATATAATTTCTGTCCAATTATTGGCTCTGTCTCTGCCAGACTGTTAGGGGTGATTTAGCGGACTACTTGGTAAATGTAGACAGTTTATGTGAAGCTGCTCAAAATTAAATCATTTTAACAGTGTGGCGATAAAACTGATGTTCACTTTAAGTCATTGAGAATTTTATTTATTTTCACAAAAACTAAGTTTGTACAAAAGAACTTCAATGATGGATAAAAATATACAGTAGAAAACCGTAAAAAAAAAAAAAGTTCATGTGAATAATGATCAACTGTCACTGTTGACCTGAGTCCAGTCCCATTCAGTATGTGTTTTAATCACAATACCCAGAGGTGGTACAAAATGACAGGAACACACAACAATATCATTAAGTCTTGCACCATCACCAACTTTAGTTTAAAAATGAACACAAAATGAAATCAACACCTCTCCCCATGGTCTTACGAATAACTGAACCTTACAACAGGTGTTCCTATTATTGTGGTCACCTCCTGTAGCTTTACCATACAAACACAGAGCTGTCTAAGGTCAAACGTGTTGGCTTCACACTGCTTGTCCATTTGCACTTGTGTGATTAGCCAGCAATGATGTAGTTTGAAGAGTGAAGTGTCATTGGTCCAAGCGAAAAATGATTCAAGTAAAGACGCTTTGTAATAAGGTTGTACAATGTATTGTTACTATCGATATGACTAGATATTGTCTTAAATCTGGGATATCGCAATTCTACAAGTGCTGTCTTTTCCTGGTTTTAAAGGCTGCTTTACAGTAAAGTGATCTGATCGTTTTAGCTGTTGTGGTATTTGTAATATTGAAAACACCAATAGTTAACCCTATAATATCCTTGTAATATCCATATTGAGGCATTTGGTCAAAAAATATCATGATATTTGATTTTCTCTTTATCACCCAGCTCTACTTGGTCACTCAGATTGAGTTTTGGTAACGGGGGAACTGAGTTCATTAATTTATTTGGTCCAAACTGGTGAAATGTGGCTACCCTTTCCTTTTGATGTCACAGCTCCTCTGAGTTGCAAATTTGTAGTATAATGATATTTATAATGATAATGGTAGCGAAGAAAAAAACTGGTCGTACAGTATATATCACATCCTTTGGCATCGTTCAGTTGTTCTTCTTCTGGCTCTTTCTGTTGGGTGGCTCGCTAAACTGGACAATGTTGAAATGTACAAAGGTTCCCAAGAAGTGCACGAAAGCAGTAGTAGACACCAGCACGGGAAACAAGTCAGGTAGATGTGATGGAGGATCCAGAGCTACAGTCACGACACTCAGACCAGCCATGGCTGCGACACTGATGTAGAACTGTAACACAGAGAGATGGAGACAGAGGGTTTATCGACTGATTTAAATGAGAACTGGGACACAAGATCAGATAGATGTTGAGTTGCACTTCAAAAACGTAGGCTGAGGTGAGACAGCTGTGGTCAGGTGCTACTTCAAAGAGACGATACGACAAAGCTTTTCCTTGAGCTTTTAACCACATCACACTGTCTTCATCAGAAATGAATACGCTCGTTTGTCGTGGAGATGGTCCAGTTGGCATCATGTGACCCAATTATGGAACCTCGGTCATGTGATAACAGGTGGTTATGTTGTGTATGTGTGGGGGATCGTAACCACTGTTTCTCAAGCATGCCATCTCCATGACAACTGTGCGAATGATTCACTGATAAATACCATGAGATGTGGTTGAAAGATTTGGAAAACCAAATAAGAGGACCTTGAGTTAGGACTGCCTTGTCAAACTACTATTTTTAAGGTCAAGACAAGCCTTTATTGCTCAGTCATTGATAAGCTTTTTTTTTTCAGTTAAGGTAACAAACTGCAATTGGGATGTCATCACATTGTTCTTCTTTATATCCTAAGTACTCTGCGTGACAGATCATGATTGATAAGCTCTAACCAGCAAGAAACTAATGAGGGTTGTTAAAGGTGCATTCAATGTAGCATATCAAGATTAGTATAGTTGTCATGGCGAGTAAAAATTGTTCTATAATATCTTCTATAGATCTGGAAATAACTTTTTTTGTTCAAGAAATTACCCAGATGACATCATCTGGGTAATTTCCATCAAGGAGACTGAATATTTGAAACCCTGCATTATAAAGTAAGATGTGGGTGTTCACCATGGAAGGAGGGTCTAATGAAAGCTGCACTGACTACATTTACATGCACACAACTTTCTAGTATTAATCTTCTATTAATATAAATATAACAATATTGTGGATTTAATAGGAGTTATGTAAACAGCATATTTGGTATAGATTTTCTGAACAGCGCATTCGGAATATGCGTCTCAATTGGCATTTTTACCGCAGTTTGCGTCACATGGCCTCTTGTCTGTTTACCATCTGCTCTGTGTGTTGTCAAGCCAAAAGTTTGCAAGGCTGTGGTAGAGACAAATGCCCAAAAGTAAAGCCCACATTTCTGGTCAGAGGCAGAAACACACTTACTTTCAAATACTATGAAAAAACTTGGATATCAACAGGATTTTGGATATGCACAAATATCGCAATGCCGACCTTTTCAAGAAGGTGGTTGGAGGAATGAAAGAGGGAGGCTGTGTGTATATGGTAAACTCCAGTATTTTTGGAGTTTGACTAACTCTAGGGGCTAAAATTTAGGATATCTCAGCCTCTGTAAATTGCCAGGTAACCCTTTGATGTAGACAACTCTTTTACGACAACTTCTTTGAGGTGACTGAATTGATATTCCATACCAGAAACTGTTCCTCGTAAAAACAATGACGAGACCGGGCACCTCAGGCCAAGAACAAACTGTTAGCTTTTCCCTTAAGTTTAAGTGTAACTATAATATCAAACCCAATGAATGATCTAATTTGAAAGAGCTCTCAAATCACATTGCATATTCATCACTGGATGACTCACATCAAACTGGTCATTTGAAAGGTGCTATAAAGAAAAAGAATATCACGGGGCATAATGGCCGACCTGAATTAAGGTCTACAAAACTACTTTTTTACACAGTTGCAAACAGAACTGACGGTGAGATCATTCATGTGTCTATTTGGGCTTTATGAGCCAGAGATAAGTCAGTGAGTGAGATGGAGGAAACACCTCGTGCCCACACCCGCCCCGCCACCCCAAACCTATGAAACCTTATCGCTGTCACCGGGGCTTGCTATTTATGCTGCTTGTGTAAATAAATATATCTAGGCAAACCTGTGTTAATGACACGTGCTATAAAAAGACACCTTCTCGTAATCTCTGACACCCTACCGGAGCCCCTGTCGCAGAGGGGTTGGCGGTGCAGCCACTTCAGACGCTGTGGAAACTTAAATAAGTGATAAATAATTCTTTGGCTGGCAGCGGCTTTCATCCCCGCACAGCTTACACAACTTACAGTGGCACATGATCTTTATTTATACAGTTGGGTGTATCTTCTCACACGCTTGCAATTTAGGTCTAGTGCCGCTCTCAAAGTACAGGCCATCTGGGATCCTGGAATCAGCACCATTCTTATTACAAATGCATCAGCTGTGTATCCTCCTCCCCCCGTGTATGAGAGCAGACATGAAACACTAACTTAATCAAGCAGCAGTATCTTAATTTTGTTTACTGTTCGTTGAGCATGAGCCTCATCAGAAGCAAAAGGAAACCATGCTTTAAGCTTAAATCCAACTTTGGGGCTTTGTGATTTTGGTGACTCCTAGTGGTGGTGTCAAAAAAAGTGGTAGAGAGAAACTTCTGGCAACTGACCTGGTATCAGTGACATGAATGAGCCGAAAGCAACACATAAACTGCAACATTTTTTACTGAGACTGTCTAATTTCTCTACAAACAAAAGCCCATGGCACCAAAACGATTTTACAGATGCTAAAATCAAATAGATATTTTACACTTAGTGGCTTTAAATTACTCTGATGTGCGCACTGTGCAGTCTGTTGATGTAATACTGCCTCCCCTTCCTGTGTTAATACGTATTAAGTAATCTGCTTGACCTTTATTTTATTGGCAGCCAATTAGAGCTCCAACCACAATGATAGAAGTTACCGCCTCTTATACAAGTCTCTGGGACTGCACAGCAACCTCTGCAGCGTGACCTACAACATTTAGCTGATATAAACCATTTGCACTAAGTTAATGTGCTCTTTGCCCCCCAGAAGGACATTATTGTTTTGAGTTCAGCAGGACTGAAGTCAAAAATTGAGCTTTTTCTCTATCAGTCAGACTCAGGTGGCAGTTGTGCCACATGCTGCATGTCTTTTCATGCAGAATAACTTTTTTCTTTTTGCTACACATACTCAGCAAGGATGAAGTAATTTGGAAAAAAAAAATGATGGAAAAAGTTTTGTAGGTAAGTAAATTACATATAATCATTGTGGCAGCATCTTTAAAATCCTAACGACACATTAAACGTAGCAATTAAAATGCTACTGAAATGGTTATATGTAACCTTAACATCATATTTAGCCTGGTATCAACACAGATGACCTGCAAATCACAAAGTAGGTATTACACTCTTATTCACTGTACCAGGGCTTGAACCGCACTCACCTTCCATCTTACAATCCAGGCCAGATTCCGTTTGGGTAGGCAGAAGAACAGTTTTCGGTAGGTTCCCAGTCTCAGCTCTTCCTCTGAACAGTGCTCCAGTGCAGACAGTAGATAGATGCTGAAGAAGAGGAAGGCCAACGAGGTCACGACATAAGGCACCAGTAGGCCGTCCTTCAGAAGCAGAGGCAGCATGCTGCATGGAGGGACAAGGACAAGAACAATGGTGCATTTACAGTTTAGAAATTGAAATGCTGATGTCACTGTCTAGAGTGATGTACAATAACCCCAAACAGAGCAGTGTATAAGGACTCTAAGTCTCTTTTCCACTATTTACGTGCAATGTGCAGCTAGAGCTTTGATGCACACGAATGCAACGGAATATGTAAATACACATAGCATGACGTTTTTTTAAAATCTTTTAAATGGATTTCTACATGTGTCCAACGGCACAACAAGTTCAGTTACGTGTGCTGAGAAGAGGGCAGCAGTAAACGGCATAGTTTTTATCGAGCAGGCCTGCGCAAGCACTCTGTCCCCTGGGGAGAAATGGCTCTGACATTCATGCCAAGCTTATCTTAGTTTAGCAGAGGGGCACGGACAAGAACAACAGTTGACTCATAGTAAATCGCACATCACCCTAGCTTGTAAAAACCCATCCCCTCACAACAAACCACTCATTCTGATTTTTACTGCGACAAAAAAGCTCCATTCAGCGAGATAAATGTTAAACAATTTGGAAATACATACTTGGTCAATTTAAACAGACTGGCTGCATTCTGCCCTCTTACAATTGCTATGGTTGAGCATCCATTCGGCCAATTAGGTTAACAAAAGATGTATTTCTTTAAGTGGAGTCTGTAGAGGATGTAGATAATGTGAGAGTCGGAGTCAGACTGTACTGAGAGGCAGCTACAGAATGACCTCCTGTCCCCACACACAACACACACTTAGACAGCAGGCATGCAGACTATGCCGTGTAATCCCCAGATATCCTTATACTAAACCACACGCACAACAATTAGTGCTGCCGGAAGAATTTAACAACAGCTGGTGAAAGTTAGACAGGGCATTTGCAGCACTACTTGTCTTTTCCATTCATGGTCCTCAGCTCAACCCAGATCGTAGATCCATTTGGCTGCTTAAGATTGTTTCTATGGTGTTTGATAGTTGACAGTGGTGAGAAATAAAGGAAGGTGACGTGGAAATGAAATGCCAGATTCAAACCCTGGACATTGCTGTTATGTTGTACTGTCAACTTGGCCACCAGGACATCCCACAGACTCTAACTTTTGCTGAACCGCAAGTTACAGGTGTGGAATAAGGATAAATGTTAGAATATAATGGAACACGAGCACAAATGGAAGAGTTATAAAGTTATATAGCATATAGTCATAAGTTATAAAGCAAAAAGTAACGTCATTTTGCTAACAGTAGCTACTATAAGCATCGAGTCATACCAGACTACGTAAGGCTGGGGTGGCAAAAACTCTGAATGCATTGCATTAAGAACTTTTAAACTTTAGGACTGTGGGAGAAAAATTGTGTATTTTCTTTTTTTTCCAAAGTTACTTCGTCTATTACTATAGTATAGAATACTACAAAATGCAAGTCCTGATTCTGCCTTGATTGATCTTTCCTAAATGAAAAAGTGTTTTGTTTGATTTGTGCACCTCTTAACTAATAGTGAAAGGTAATCGAAATAACGTTCGAACTGCAGCAAACATGCTGTGGATGGTTTCATGGATGCCCGCTGTATATTAAACGAATAGTTTGACGTTTTCGGAAACGGCTTATTTGAATGTGGTTTTTCCAGGGAACCAGCGGCAACTCCAGGAAGTGACTGCGCCCAGCCAAGAAATAGTTAAGCAAACACATTGGCCAATTAGCTGTATTATTACTCCAAGTGTACAGACATTCTTGTTAGCGACAATGAATTTTTGTGTACCCTTTAAAAGCACAAGACTCTGACATACTGCCTATCTCAGAAACCACTGATGAAAACGCAGAGTGTGACACTAATGCTGCAACTGCTGCTGACTTAGCAGCAACAGACAATGAGAGAAGACCTGAAAATTTTAGAGAATTAGCACTCAGTTTTATGTAGTAGGGGGTCACTGCTCCTTCTCTTTTTGACCTAAGGGGTCTTCGGCCTGAAAAACACTGAGGACCCCTGACTCACCTGAATGTAGACACCTGCAGGAACCAAATACCCATCAAAGGGAGGTCATTCAGCAGGAGGCAGGCAGGCCTAGAAAAGATGAGAGTTGAATATACTCGATAATAAACACTGTCTACAGTAAGCACCATTAAATATCATATTACAGTAAGAGAGGAAGTGAGGCCATGTTAGGTCGGAGCTGGATGTGAACTGATGTCATGCGTGTATGATGTTAAAGCAACTGACCTGACAGGACATCCACATAAATCCATTATGGACGGTCTCTCACAAGGCAGTCAAGTGTTTCTTGTGCCGCATCATTTTATATTTGCACATGCCTTTTTACTGTAACTGCACTGACATGTACGGTACTGTACTCCCTAAATAACTTTTACTTGAAAAAAGTAGAAAATGTTTTGTTAAAATTCTGACTTCAGGGCACATGTGTGTTTCTGTGTAGCAAAGCCCTGTTGTTAGTTGAACCTGTGCGACTGCGTCATTGCTAGCCGGTGCTACTTGTACACTGTGCTCCGAGGGGGGCACTTTCCACCGGTCCCCGAGCCCATAATTACAGCCAGTGCTCTTTGGCGATCCTGTTACAGCCCAATAATTGATCCTGCGCAAACAACGCCCCGAGCTGCCGCCTGCCATTCTTTCCTAATCCCTGGACATGCATTACTGATTGATTCAGGGGGACAGGTGGGAGATATAACTCAATAGTTAATAAAGCAACAATCTACCCTAATCTAGATTAATAGATGAGCCCAGATCTAGGAACCAAATCCCTCACTGTCAAATATATGCCAGACTTCACTCTGTACCTACACTGCTTTATGCACGAGGAGGTAAATGGTAATGAATCACACCCACACATGCACGTCTTTATGCTCATGTGTGCAAGTGCTACACTTATTCATATCGAGACAAAGGAAGCTGGGAGGACTGATTTTTGTCTGTGCAGAACGGAGTATGATGGCAGAGGTGAATAAGCCCTCAGTTAGCAAGTCTGTACTTAAATAGATTGCTCCTCTGCAACTGTGGGAGCACAGCGGGAGGATGATGTCACTTTTACAGAGTGCTCACGTCTTCGACTCATTAACAACCTGCAAGACATAAACTGAGATCTGAAGTGGGGGAACGGGCGAATGGCTCCTTTGTGAGCAGAAATTAAATCTATATTCATGAATATTTGAGGTATCACTACAAGATGGTAAAAGTGCCATTAATGTTTGTCACATGTCAACGAACCACCCGGCCAGGCAAAATTTCAAGAAGTATTACCTCTGTACTTACAAGGCAGCCAAGAGGATGGACTTTTCGTGGACTTGATAGGAGAAGAGGAAAAACGCCAGAGATGAATTGGCCTAAAAGAGACATTCAGATTATTAGTACAACATCTGCTACTGTTATTGACCAGTAATACTGTGGATAGTAGAGCTGCAACAATTAGTCGATTTGTCATTCGACAAAGAGTTAATTGGCAACTACGTATTTTGATAATGTTATAATTGTTTTTTGGGGGGGGATGTCTTCTTGGGGTCTGAGAAATTACAGAGGGCATGTTTCACTATTTTCTGACATTTTATTGAAAAAACAATGGAAAAAATGGCAGATTAATTGATAATGAAAATAGTAGTTAGTTGCAGCCCTACTAGATGGCATACTTATTATTAAAGGCAGAGAAGGAAAAAAATACGCATGAATGAAGGCATCAATAAAGTGACGTTGTATTTGTTTTTAATTTATTTTTATTTTATATACTTTATTAATCCCCGAGGGGAAATTCAATTGTTCACTCTGTTGTCAATTGCACACAGGTCCAAACACACACATGCACAAACTGGACCTATACATGCACTAAGTGGAGAGATGTCAGAGTGGGCTGCCCATGACAGGCGCTCCGAGCNTAAAATAAATAAAGTAGCTTTGTGCAAAATTATTAATTTATTTATAATTTAGCCTTCATGTTATTGTCGTTAAAAAACAGGCCTTGTTTCTCTGTGAGGGGAGGCTCCGTACATTCGGCTTGCTATTGTTTTGACATCAGTTGCCACTCACCAAAGCCAGTTTAAACTGCCAGAAAGTGGGCTTGGTCAGGAGTCTGACGCTGGAAGGTAGCACTGCCAGGAGAGTGCAGGCTAAACTGAAAAACAATACAAACATTCACATTATCTCACATCGACACCGTTACATGCAGAAAAATGCTCAGTGGGAGATGAAGTTACTGCAGCAGGAAAAAATAATTATACAGCGCAAGACACGTAGAGTATAAAATCAATTTGGAGTCAATATGAATAATTGCATTTGCACATAATTCCAGGCTTTCACATACTGAACATCTTTCTCCTGTGTTGGTGTAGCTTCATGTATAAAAAATGACAATGACTACAAACCTGAAAAGCAATTTACTACTTGCCAGTTTTAACTGTGTGTTTATGTCTGTGTATGTACATTGAGAGTAGAGCTGGGTGATGACACATGATATTAGATTATCCAAAATCTAAGGTGATATCTACTCGAATAATATCAACATTATTGCCCAGTCCTGCAGTGAGAGCACAAAAACTAAGTCAAAGTCCATGTATGTGTGCACACTTACATGGTCATTAAAGCTGATTCTGAATTACAAACACAGCTTTGTTTTCAGCCTGTAGCACTAGAAGATCAGATTTTGATATCAAATACAAAGAATCACTATGTCAAAGCAACTGTGGATCCATCTTGGATCTGCTCTGCAAACTAAGACCTCTGCTATGTGGGAAACGACCAAATACTGGCCTCTTCTTAGGGTTAGCAGGCATTAGTTTAACCCTTCAATTGTCACCTGCTGGGGTTGGAGGCACCGGAAGAGAGCGACTATGTGTTAGTGTGAATGTGCTGAAAGGTCGGGCAGCGCCGGGTTAGTTTAAGGCACGAGGGCAACAATGTGTGTGTGTTACGACACAGATAGACAGAGAGATAATGATAGTGGTAGACGGATGGCAGTATTGTATGGTATTTAGTGTGTATGACAGCAAGTGTGTTATGTGTGTGTTATGTGTAGGGCAGGGTTTTGCGGTCCGGAAGGACGTGGATCACTTTTCACAGCTGATCCATTCTATGTACACAGTACGCCCACACCAGAGCATTTAGCAATCCGCTCCCTGTGCCAAAAAGACGAGAGTGTTTTTCATTTGTTTGAAATGCACTAGAGTCAAAGAAGTCCAACTTGATCCCCGGACTTAGCAGTCTGGCAGAAACGTGTCCATGCTGCGAACATACGACCCCTAAATTTAGCGTGCTGGGTTATTTAAGCAGGCTCCACCATGACACAACTGTTTTCTCATTGTAATGGGACAGGTTCTCAGCTTTTAGTCAAAATAACTTAACCGGATACTTCCTGGGATGCTCCGCGGGGTAGTGGGCAGAGAAACATGAGTTAAATGTTTATTACGTCGTCTTCCCTGAGAGCACGATTGATTTGTCTCTCATCCTCTTCATAATAGAGCACATAATTTATAACATTTTTGAAAAGAAAATCAGGTTGATTTATTCTGGGTCTATCTCTGTATATGACATGTTTCAATAGCTCTTTGGGCAGCTCTAAAGACAGCTATAATTTCAAGTTCAGACGTTCCTCTCAAGATGTTTCCTTAAGGAATGATCTTATATCCACTCACTGCATCACAGTTTTCCTTCCCTTGGGCAAGCTCTGCTTTCCCAGAAAATAAAAGGCGCAAAAGCAAGAGACAGAAGAAGAGGAGAGACGGAACAATACAACGGAACAGAAAAAGAATCAATGAAAGATAGAGGAGGAAAAAAAACGTAAGAGCTTGTTACAGATTGAGGGATTACCTGAGGCAGATCTGGGAGTCACTGGACAGAATGGATCTGATCTTTATCAGGGTGTTCAAGCTGCACCATGTGTTGGCCACCTTATCCTGTCCACACACACACACACACACACACACACACACACACACACCAATTAGTTAAATGAAAAATTATGCCAGATAAAACCACAAAAACATTTAAAATTTTAACACAAAATAAATTCAGAATTTCACTTATAGGGGAAAGCAAATAAGTGGCATTGCTGTAGGTAATTATTTCCCAACTAAAGGTGCAATAAAAGTTTCCCAGAGCATTCCAGAGGGACATTTGTACGTAACCCTCCATCATAAATTACCTCCCCTGTCAGAGGAAGCATGGGACTGATTTGTAAACTCGGGGACACAGAGTCAAGTGTCAAACCAGAGTGGTTTCTGCAAAACCAGCAGATACAGACCAACCACAGAGCGCTGCTGAAAAATACATGTCAACATTTTAAACAATTCTCTATACAATTAAATTTATTACATTTTATAGCAAAAAATAAATATTTTTAAAATTAAACTATTGTACTTAACTGGGGCTGCATGTAACAGTAATTTTTATTATTAATTATTATTAATTAATCTAATTTTAATAATTGCTTTGCTTATAAAATGTAACAAAAAAGTAAAAAAAAAAATCACAATTTCTTCAAATTATTATTTTTTGATTGACCAGCAGTCGAACCTGGGGATTTAATTTACAATTATATAAAAAAAAAGAAAAGAAAAAATCAGGAGCTGAACACAGATAATTTGTCATTTTCGCTTTACTAAAACTATTAATAAATTATCAGAACAGTTGCTGATTAATTTTCTATCATCTAATAATTTCTGCTCAAAAGAAAACAGCATAACTTTTTCTCTCATGTTTGTCTGTATCTTTTCCGTGTTGTTTTTGTAAATAACCCGTAAAATCAGTCTTAAATGTCCGTGAATAATATGGAAGATATGTTACAACCTTAATACCAGGCTAAAAGTACTTGCGGTTTATAAGAGATGAGGAGGGCGTTGCTGTGAGATTCAGTTGATTTAAGTGCTTAAGCAGTTGTGCCGGGATCAGATGATATTGAGGCCCAAGCCGCCACTGTGCACTGTGATATCACACGTCACTGGGACTGCATGCCTCGCTCAGCTTTATGATTCCGCTGTGAAGGGTTTCAGTGTGTGGCCCTGTCTAGAAAAAAACTATTTCTGGCCTCCTCATTCTCCTCTGTGCTACAGCTGCTTCCAGCACAGCTGTGTGGATCTTAATGGCAGCCTAGTCAGCAGCACTGGGCCATCCAGTGTTGTGTTGTCTCAGCCCCTTCCCTCTCTCTTTCCTCTTTTCCTCCCTGCTCCAAATAACCGCCACGGGAATGTTCCTGGACGCCGCCTGCAGGGAACACATGAACGAGGGGGGGTCCCCAAGGCAAATGTAAAGAGGGCGAGAGCAGTGTGGCTCCTTCACCTATGATCTAGCACGGAATTTCACAGGGAGAAGCATTTGGTGCCATTTTTGTGAGCAGGCAGCAACGTGAGATGTCAGAATGCAGCTCAGTGGGTAAACTTACAACTGCTCCCGCCCAGAAGCTGCCACGACCACCAGTCACCAGCACTCCTCTTCCCCAACACCCCCTCTCACCCCTGTCCCCTTGTCCAAAGCTTCTGCCTACGTGCACAATTTCACAATTAGTTCAGGACGGCTCGACCCCGCAGCCTCTCGTGCTGTCGTCACAGGGGAGTATAGTGTCTCTCACACCCTGTGTATTATGTTTGCATCATTTCATTGAACAAATACTGCCACGGCGCATGCTGCCATCTGCTCCCCTGGTAGAATTTTCAATTACTTCTCACATCCGTGACACCTTGTGGTGGGTGCCACCTCGGGGGCCAGGACAAGAGAGAGGATACGGGGTTTCAGAAATGAGAGCTGCAAACCTTGGCCTCTGAGCTGTCAGTCAAACACGCGAGCGAAGAAACACACACAGTTACTTTACCTCTGCTCCTTCCATGACAGCTCTCAACACTGCCAACTCAAGTCTTTGAAGTGCTCTTTCTCACTGTTCGCTATCACTTTCTCTTTTAATTACCATCATATTCCTGTGCCTCCTTTTCTCTCAACGGCAACCACTGACTGACCACAGTATACAAATGTGTGTGTGCGGCTTGTGAAACAGTCTATCATACGTCAATGCTTTCCAAAGATAAAGTCAGTGGCAGGCAGTTGATACCACAGTTGTCGAATGCGCCCTGATACGCCTTTAAGCAAAGCGTTTGCCCCGCTCATCAGTCCATACGGCTAGAACATGGCTCTGCTATGAAGTGCTGAAAACACCCGGGCCATAAATTATTTAGATTTATCTATACCCTCCTACTGTATGTCCCGAGCCCCAACACCTCCCAGAGATAGAGTGAAACTGATCTCCTGACCTTTCACCATTTTATTCCACTGTTTTCTTTGATCCTGCGGGGTATCCATTTCCCACCGGTTAAGCACTTGAGGGTGGAGGGGTGTTCGCCATGCTGAGAGCATGGAGCACTGTGTAGGGCATGAGGAGTGCAACACGGGTTGTGTTTGACTTTTATAAAAGCACTGGGTACAGCAGATGGGAGAGGTTTAGCGCGTTTCTACGGCCTCACAAGCAATGGCCAGCCTGTCCCGTGCTCAGACAGGAGAGACGTCAGAGACTGGGCCAAAAGTATACAGGAGGAGCACACGGACTAGAGGCAACAAACTTTATTAAAAGACTCATGTTTCGACACCAAGATAGTCTTCATCAGAGACTCAAAATCATTCAAGTAACCTCTCATTAGGAACTGATCTAGCACCAGCTGGTCACAGCCTCGTGCCTTAAAGTGTTAAAATCAAATTAGAGCTTTAACTTGTAAGAGAAATATCACTTCCTCGAAAACAGTGAATCTTCACTGATCCTGAACAAGTAGGCACCAACAAAACCTCCAAGCCATCACCAGGAAATCCTATCATATCAAAAAGCCTTTCTCTGTTTCACTGGATTACAATTCAGAGTGATCCCTTGTAGTGTTGTCACGATACCAAAATCTTTGTTTCGGTACCAATACCAATATGAATTTCGATACTTTTCGATACTCTTCGGTACTTTTCCTAAGGAAAAGTCCTTTTGGATACAAACCTTTAGAACAATAAATAGTAGGGGTGTAACGGTAACAAAAAAAATCATGGTTCGGTCAGTACCTCGGTACGGACGTCACGGTTTTGTAACTCAAATGTCCCACCAAGTTTGTGTTGTCTCATGTTGTCTCCCTTTGCGAGGCAGACTTTCTCTTGTCTTTTTTCACATACGCCAGCTGCGAATGTTGATACAGGTGTTGTCATACACACCACTTGTGCAATCTGTGCTCCAATAGGAACAAGAAAGGCATTTGTGTGCATAATTGAGTAAAATAAATTAACTAAATTAATGAATTGAATCAATTTCAAAGTACTGGTATTTTCCAAATGCAGTATAGTACCGTTTGAAATGCTCTAGTACCGCGGTACTATTTTAGTACCGGTATACCGTGCAACACTAATCCCTTGCGGTATTATGTGTCACAACAACATCCTGTTTTAACAGGAATTACAATAAATTAAGGCCATTTAAGAAACTGCTTCATGGGTAATACATTTACACTAATACTTGAACAAAATGCTAACATTAAAAGGAACCAATTTTTAATTATAATGGATTGGTTGAAGGATCATGTCAGGCGGCTAGTGTTACTAGAAAGGCCTAAAGGACTGTATGAAATTTTCGGGAATGAGGACAGGGCTGAATCCCCAGCATTGTTAATATTGCCTTGGAAAGAAAACAGCAATAGCCTAAACCCAATATCTAAAAATAATATTTTAATGAACATCCATTTATAAATTAAGAGCCGAAAAATAAAAGTTATTACAACCAGAGGAAGAGAGAACCTGCTGGTGAGAAAAATAAAAGACCCTCATCTGCTCTCCAGGAAAAAAAAGTCAGACTGCTCTCCCTCCAGCAAAGAGAAAAACAACACATAACCGTCCCCCTTTTCTGACCCTCCTCCCCCTCTAATAATTTCTCTATGATTCCTAACTTTTATGAGTGAGTAAAAATACTGACGTCTGTGTATTATATTTAGTTAGCAAACGTCTTCTATGCCTAGAGAGCAGCCACAAACAAATGTCAAGCACCTACAGAGTTATTGATACCCAACGCCGTGCCAGGCTTTAGGGTAAACAGATACACAACAGCATGTCTGTTGACTCGTAACATAACAAAATATGGTAGTACATATATTTTTTTTTATCTGGGAAGCCATTGAAAAAATCCCCTAGGCTTAGTGAGTCAACATTTTATTTATGCTATGGATGGTATTTGGAATTTCAGGACATTTGATTACTGTAATTACAGTCACATTCTTATTCATACCACCAGAACGGGGTGGTGAGGAGGTTAAACTTCTGTACCACCTCAAGGGTAAGTAATGCTTCTAAGGATACTGTGCCAGGAAATGTGCATGTGACCTGTATGGATCATATAATCTCCAGGCCATGCTGGGCTGACATTTGCTAGCCTATATATTTAGCTGTATTGATGTATCAGGAGATATTATACTCTTCCACTTGTTTTTCTAGATGACATACTGGGGTTGTGAGTTGCTATTCTTAGATACCTGCCATGACAAGAGTACAAATGTTTTTTTTTTTGATAAAACTAAAAGCCTCAAAGGCAAAGTCAAGCTGCTCAGATGTGGGTTTTCAGGCTGACTTTTCATTAAGAAGCTCTACTGTACCTCAAACAGACCGCGAGCCACGGGAAAAATCCTCCTGACCACCTGCATGGCCTGACTGGGGTCGGACAGGAAGGGCAGCCAGCAGAGGGCAAAAGTCACCAACACTGTAGAAGCAATTCTCACCAACAGGAAAAGCCTACGTGAAGACTGTCACACAGAAAGACAAGCATCGTGTCTGAGGTACAGATATACTATGAATAATGGAAAAAAAGCACACACTTCCTAACAGAATTTTCACATTTTTATAAACTTAAATTTGAAAAAAATTAAAATATTGACACTAGCAAGTTGCTTAAGTTTGCCTTCCTCTACTTGCACTCCTCAAACAATAAGTACACACTGTCTGCACGTCCTAAATTTGGGATTTGACCCTTGTGTTGAGGAATGCAGTGAAAGCCATGCATCAGCTGAAAGTCTTCGGTGTAGGTCAGGCTATCTTGTCAGCTGTAACTGTGAAGCTGCTGGTTAAGTTGCACTCACAGCATAGCTGAGGAGTTTGGGCATGGCGAGAGTGTCATCTGGACATATCTCCCCCCCGGCCCTTCTAATCCAGCTCTCCATTTGCTACTAAATGCCCTTGGTACATTGTTACTAGATAAACAGACACTGGACACACTAGTAACAGCATCCAATCTGATTACCTCAGTCATTCTGCGGCTCTCCTGAGGACACTGCTCACTTATAGACTGACATTACGTATCTGCTTTGAGCACTTGGCTGACGCTTTTTACGCTGTGATAAAACAATGTAACCAAAACAATGACATGGTTGAGTAATCATGGCTTCAAAGACACAAAATTATTCTTATAATAATCCTCTATACTAGTGATTGCTTTACTGATACATTTACTGACACATGCATTTGACTGTCTCCTACTTTCCTTTCTTTCAAGAAGGCAGGAAATGAAAATGTTAAATGTTGCTCTCCCTTTCCCCCCATTGCTTTTTATATATTTTCTAATAAAAGCTGATAGTTAATTGTTTGAAACATACAGTTTCTGCCACTCCAAGTGAGAGTAGTAGATGAAAAATTGAGACTAAGCCTAAAATCTAGAATCACTGTGTCTTGTATGGATTCATATATGTCACTGATCTACCACAGCTACAGTGAAATATTAGTATCGAACAACAACATGCAGTCATCCCATCTATTTAAGGGGTATGATTAAGGGTACCTGACCCATCTACTTGTACTGTGTGGGTAGGCTGGACAAAATATATTGGAAACTACTGCTCAAATTCCTTAAAATGTAAAGAAAACAATGTTATAGAAGGAAAAAAAAAAACACAAGACCCAAAAACAGACTCACCCTCGCCCCATCAGGCCCAGTTTGACACTCTTCCCCAGCAGGTAGCAGAAGAAAGGCAGAGCATGGTACAGCTCCATCTGTTTGTAGTTGAGAGCCAGGCAGAAGGCCACAGAGCCAAACACGTCCCAGCCCAGACCCAGAGCCAGAACTCCCCACAGGGCAAAGCCCAAACTCACTGCATTGTACCTGTTTGAGTTAAGGTTAATATTGTGCTGGAAGTGTCTCCATGTAGACAAGTAAAGGTAAAAAGTACAATGTGCTGGTATGGGACAAGTACCTTGGAAAACAGTGGCTGATTCAGGGTCAGTCCAGTTCAGATGCTCAGTTTATTCATTAACTCTTTCATTATTGTGTTTAATTGTATCTGAATAACAACTATTTTCAAAATTGTTTCATCATTATATTATAAGACAGACGACACTGCATACGCGAAAGATGTGTCCCCTGTCAGCTAGTGTTTCTTTCCAACTTATCTCTAACAAAAGAGCAAATCCATGAGGGACAAAGACAAGTGATGTGCAACAATGGCACATGTAATGTCTTAAAGTTGTCAACAATCTTATATAATGTTGCTGAAGGGTGAAATATCCAAATATTCGCTTTATATTGCCATTCAGGAGACACTCATTTAGTGGCACACATCTGAAATAACAAATTTACAGTTTTTCAAAGTATTTTAAATCCTTGGAAACCCCTATTACAATTACAATCAATGCAACTCAAAGAGCTACAAAGGCTATGAGGAACTACCTGATATAATACTTACTTGGCAATGAGAAAATATAGTGTGTATACAGTAAGATTTATTTGATATGCTGTCACTATTAGTAGGTCAGTGTATCCCAGGAAGTCATAAAATTACATCACAGTGAATTAAGAGTAGGAATGCACCTGCACAAAAAGGATACTGGAAATGCCCATAGTCTATGAGAATTAGGCCTGGGTAGAGAAGGAAGCAGAACAAAGTGGAAACCTGGAAAAAAATGACGTACTGTTAGTTTTATGAAGGTAAACATAACTGAAATCTAAATACAGTCCACTGGTTATTAGTATACCATGATGCAAGGTTATGAGTTATGTCATGTTTGCACACAGAGGGGAAACATTTGCATCTAAATATATATATATATATTTAGATTTTTTTATTCATTCCTTTCTAGCAACTGCTTATTCACACTTAGGGTCAGAAGGGGCAAAGAGCCTGCCTCACAGCCTGTTCTTTTTACAGACAAAGCTGGTATGTGTCTGTTGTAGCTACTGATCTTGTAATAACTGTTTGATCATTTAGGACAGTCAAAATATTACAAAACATCCACCTTGATTGATTGTACTCTAAATACATTTATATATGCCAGCCTTCTAGGAAAATATAATATTATACTGCAATATTAATTTCATAATTCCCCAACGTGAATGACCAGTGCTGTGATCAGTTTTTATAAATGTGGGTTCCCCAGACAAAGTGGAAAATGTGTCTCATTTGGATCTTTAGAGGAAAAAACTAGTAGATGTCATGACATACTCAGCAGGTCTGTTACCTTTTTTCTTGAAGAACCATCAGTGAGGTATAAACAGTATAAAACCACCGCAGGGATGTATATTAACAAATCTGCCACCAGGACTGAAATAGAAAAAAAGAACAATATTTTAATTTGTAAGTGAGTAAATGATTGTTAAGGTTCATGGAAGCTTTGTGCTGTATTTTCTCATGGTTACTGTACCTGTAGCTCTCATGAATAACTTGTGTGCTGGGCTTTCATAACCTCTGGATTTGTGGAGCTCCACCCATTCAGGGTTTATTGTCTTGGCTCTGTAGGAATATATAGTTACAGTATAGAAAATTATGCCTTGAGTGACAGGCAAGGTGGCCTGCTTTTGGAATACCTGTGCACAGGTTATATATAATAGAGTACAAGAGCAAGCAGAATAGCAGTGTGCCATATTAAACTGAGATAACATGGAAAATCCAACTCTCTTCTTCAATAAACATTCTTTCTCTGAAATAAAATACACTCTCTAAATAATAATAATAATGCTTACATAAAGGCACAGATCAGGCTGTGGTAGGCAGTCAGAGGTGGATAGTCAAGGCCCCAGTAGTTCAAGTCATTCTCAGTGGTGTTAAAGTACCTGGATGAGTACAAATATAACATATATTTATATCTGAAACTGCAAACGTGTCAGAACAATTCACATTACAAGGGGCTGCAGCCATGGTGGGAGACCTCCTGGATCGCTTCTAGATCCCTTTTTAATGTTTAATGGTGCTCACAGAATACGTATGCAACATTAGTGTTATATACATCCAGTTTCAGCTTTAATTTGTCCACTTTATTGGTAATATTCTAGCTCTTTTATTATCCAGTATCTGTGGTCTTGGGGATATGTGACTCACAGAATCTACTCTCACCATTAGATATACAGTATTGTGTTTTAGGTCAGATTTGTACAACATTTCCAGTCCTAGAGCTCCTACTCTTCTCATGTGTCTGAACGAGTTTCTCAAACTTGCTCCACTGAGTAAACAAACTTCAGACTGACCATTCCTTGACAGGGAGGTTGTAGGTCACCTCTTGCCAGTGCCTTTGAGCTTCATAGTCGCCAAACATGGGAGGTTTCCCCGCCCCTGGAGGAGAATCATTCAGCTGTTAGTCTGATGAATGGGAAACTACATCAGTGACTGACAGCATGTAACCACACACACACACCAGACTGCTCGAGCCAGTGACTGGATGCTCTCCGCTAACAGCAGCAGTCTGATACGTATGCAACTACTTCCTGTCAGTTGTTTAATGAAAATAAAATGAGCCACACTGAAGTGAGCAGCATTGTAGCAAAGACAGCTGCAGCATGTTAACGTTAATCTCCACACTCTTCCTACCTGAATATGAGTTTAACGAAACGCCCCATCTCACAACAACGCCGAGCAACACGGAAATTGATACGAGACTCCACGTTTGCATAATTTCGACCGGTAAAATTAGCGCAAAGAGGACAAATAAAAGCTAAAAAAAATCTGTCTGATTTAGAAATGTCTACATTTCCTGTTTACGTCATCGTCAATGCTTCGTTGCGCACTCTCATTGGGCACTACACGCTGACGTACTCCGAGAGCCATGAGGCGTTCAGGAACACCAAGAGAAAAACATCATCTTCTCTTTATCGAGCCATCGCACCATAACGGAGGCTAGAATAATTTTGTCAAACGTGTTTAAATTGTAGCAGTAACATATAGATAAATATTTCTCTGATGAATTGTAATAACTGGCCATATAATTTGTGACTTTAACCCTTTTTGGTTAATCGTTTTGAATTGAAATTGTCAAAATTCCCAAATACATGAATGCGACATCAGCTGAAAGGAGATTTATGATAAATTGATGGATGTTGTCCATTATTAAAGACATATTAGTCATCTAATACCTTAGCAACTTATAGCTGGTGTTAAGTTCAAAGGTCAGAATTGGAGGTAGTGTTTTTTTATCCAGCGTTTTCAATTATAAAATAATAAGGCAAACTAATAATATAATACAGGCTGAGGAACAAAATGTGTAAATCGAACTAACATGAACTAATCTCTGTAAATACAACATTTTTTTGACCAATATATTTTTGAGATGTCTCCAAAATAAAAATGTAAATTATAATAACTTTAAGTAAAACATGTGAGCTATGTTCAAAATTCCAAAGATGCTATCTAAAATAAGTGTTCACCATCAGCATAAGATTTTGTGAAATCCAAAGGTTTTCTTTTTCTGGAAATCAGGAGCAATTACCTATGATGTCTGGCACTTTAAGTATTTAGTGAAATGAATGGATGACAGCTGCTACATGTGGAATCATTTAACTAATTTATTTTATATTTTCATTTTTATCAGGAGCACTTAAATCCTTGTTTTGACTACATATGTGTGTCATCTATTTTTAAGCTTAATGGCAACATACCATGACATGGCAACATCCATTCCATGTAGTGAGCAGCAGAGGCTCAGTTGTCTCATGTGTAATAGTTTGTTGTAACCTTCTGTATACAGATGTGTGTACAGTTATACAATGCAAGCCTCCCCTTGCCCTCCCCTCACAATGTAAATCTCAGCCCAGGGGCATATTCTCCTCTGTGACCTTTTCTTCTGTTGACGCCATCGTCTTTGCTCCCAAGGTGTTGGGATTTGTTGGCTGAGACATGTTCCTTGTGGTTCCGGCATCAATTATGCATAAATAATAATAACCTCGGACAACTGCTGATTTGCAATGACACTTTCATTACAACGGCAGCAGCCTATAACTCACTGGTACCCATTAGTTATTAATGCCTGGCCACGCCAGCTTTACTTTGTCATTTATTGCTTCATCTCTATGCCTTTTTAAATATTCAGTAACTGCTGTACCTACATTTACTGTCTGTGATCTCCGCCCAGGAGAAGGCTATAGCTTGTGGTGGAAGATGACCTAGTTATTATGGAGGCCTGGGCCTTGCTTGCCAATGCCATTGTAGTCTATCATATAAACAGTCAAGTTCGCTTAAGCAAGTCAGACTTGATCTTTTCTGCTGTTATGTCACATGTAAACATAAGAACATATAAAGACCCTTAATTTAAAACTCACTCCTTTGTTTTAAAAATGTTTTCTTATCCTATATTGACACTAAAAGTTTGGGGGTTGTCGAATTCATGAATTCTGAAGACATAAGAGTCCTGACATTCCTTCTTCACTACAGATATGCTCTTAATTGCACCCTCAATGAATTGTTTGGAGAATCCTGCAGTATTCATAGTGTGCATATAATCTTATTTCAGCTCTGTCTGAGGGTTTGAAAGCCCAACTCTCTCCCTATTCCAGAGGCACTTGGTGTGAAAGTCTTTTTCAGTGACACTCGGCATGCCCTTTCTGATTCTAAGATCAAAGGTAACACATTAACTCCTCCCCTCGAAAAATGTTAAGTTTTGACTTGTGACATCAGAACATCAAGCATTTCATTCTCTCATAGACAAACAGAACACTCCTATGACACACTTGGACGTGACAGTGAAACTACACAGACAAAATCTAAATGTAAATTACTTTAAAAGTTCAACCATGACTTTAGAAACTAAAGTTAGTCGACAAACACTCCTTATCTGGCTTTAAGGTTGAGATCGAAGTGGACAAAACTGATCTTTCCATGAAAATTGGATGAACATTATCCACTGATAAAAATCCTCTGATATGATCACAAGCTCCAGGACTGCTAATGAGCGTGCCTTGTGGTGGTGGATTAAGGTAAGCAAGTGTGCATGGGCTTTTGAGACTTACAGTATCAGTGGATTCATCAGCTGCACTTGAGTCACTCTCATGTGCACGCTGCGGGTGGCATAAGCATTACATACAGCACAGTTGTATACTAATGATTAAGTGTGTGGACGAAGGGGTGTTTTTATTTGATACCTCCTTGTTTGTGCATGTAACTCACAGTTTACTGTCTCCGTCAGTGTTCAGGCAGCTACTACTTATCATATTCACGAAACAGATACGCAAACACTCAAGCATGTAAATCACTAATACTTTATTTTGTTTAAGGTCGATCACATAATCCAATAGGGGCCTTTGGGTGAAGTTTCAGTCATAATGAGCCCTTGTGGTTTGCTATAATTTGGTAAAAGTGTTTGTGTGAGATCTTTTCATTTGTGAGTAAATTTAACCACACTGAGAAATTAAGTTTATATATAACCACTGCTTTTACCTCCTTTTCTAATAAGTCAGGTGCACTGAAACGCTGTCCAAGCATGAGTCCTGACACAACAGATAAATGAATGAATCTAATAAGTAAACTGTGGGTAGAATTGTGGTAGAAATGTTCACCTTTTCAACAGTCTGTGCATTTGTTTTTCCTAGTTGAATGTACAGTTCTGCACGTAAGACCAAGGATGCATGGTCAAGAAAACAACAGCATGTTTATTACATCCAGTATGTGTAGTGACATATGCTTGCTTACTCTTGTATTTACATTTTTCCAATTTTTGTATTCAACTATTCAACTAGGAAAAGAAATTAGAAAGAAATGTGGGCTTTGGCACAGAATGATAACCTTTGTGGAGGTCAAATTTTCCGTCTGCCTTTGGGCCACCTTATCAAATTAGTTTACAGCAAACAATTGTATCCTCATTTTTGTGACTCCTTGTGTTCTTGATATCCAAAACTTTCCCAAATTTTTGGTATGTTCCTAAAAGACAAGCCCTCCACTGTTACTGGATCTTGTAAAAACTGAGTGTGTTTTTGCACAAGAAAATCCAGATGAGCTGTGACCATATCATAAATGCTAGGATGCACTTTAATAATTGTAACTTGATAATGCATGCAGGCAAACTGTAACCTACACCATAGTGGATATGGATGTATATGAAAAGGTTAATGTTAACTCTCTCCCACTTTCACACTGGTGTGTAAAACACCCAAAAGACACATTCTCAACAAAACTTGTTAGAATACTCATCCAGCTCAATTTAGAAATGTCTTAATTAACATAAATTTACTGTCATGTTAATTCAATATTGGCTAATTTATCAGAGCTCTTCCTGCTCTATCTGAGTTCACTTCATGTGTAAATAAATCAAGCATCAAACTCACAATGTGGACTTTATTTATAAAAGACTGTCGCTTGGGACTAATATAGACTGGCTGGTGGAGCTGTGGGAACCTCAGTCCAGACTTCTCTCCACCTGTGCACAAGCACGTGCAGCTGCACAGGTCATTATCGAGTGGGTGCGCGCGGGTGTGCGGGCGCGCGCGACTGTTTGCTCTTCAAATGAAGGTATTCGTCCAATCAGGAAATTAAATTGGTGGCGAAATGATGACGTCAAACATCAAAACTGGCTTTGTTTTCGATACAGCAATTGATAATGGGTTAAAAGCATAAATGAGCAAACTGATGCAAACTGGAAGGCTACTTTTTTTTGATTGAGAAAAATAATTATCCATCACACACTTAAATACATATTTTAATATGCAATTATCTGGATTGTGAAGGCTAATATTTTCAAAACGGTTTTTGTGATTTTGTCCAACTGAGGTCACGTGGCTCACAAGCATTTCAAAATTGTATCTTCACATAATCTTCTTAAATTTTAAATCAACCCACAGCTGTAAATAACATCAACAATTTCAATGTTCAAAGATAAATAATAGTCCTATCTGCCCCCCAAACAGCACTAATTATAGGCTATATACTTTATCTCAGTATGTTTTGAAGCAGTAAATGCATTGAGATCACTGAGGCATATGGATGCAAATATTTACTATATTCATGTCGCTTATAATTATTACTAAAACACTATTGCCAGTGAAAACCAAGATATACATTTATTTGATCCCCTTCTTAAAGTAAAATCAGCATATTCCATTAAATAGACCTATATATTCTAAAGTTTTACTCAACTTCAGTGATTGGAAAAAAATTAAAAAAAATATTAACTGGGTGTGTGTAAAGATTTATCCTCCATTTTTTCAGTCTTCTTAAATATTTTTTTCATTTCTTATATCCCTAATGAAGAGCCAAAGGTGTCAGTTAACGCCCCCTAGCGGCGTGAATCTCTCCCGAGGTGTTGTTAGGCTGCAGTATCACCGGTGCAACATCACACACGGAGACATCACACTCTGTAATGTTACCGCATGTGAGCAGGGGAGTTTGTGGAGGCTGAACCTGCACCTGTACTCACACACATGCTGTGATGGAAATAAATCGGAGATGAAAGTAACTGGTATGAACCTGTTAGCCAAGTGCTAAATTGACTTATGTTCTTCATAAGCAATGTGTGTCAGAAAGACACACATTGCTGCATGCTTTTCAATAAGTAGATGATATTGTGTGACTGCACTTGACTGATCTCTGGTGGTCTCTCTCACACCCCCTTTCAACTGTCTCTAGAGTGAGTATTTCATACCTACTTCGTTTAGAAAATATGATGAAAAATATAATGACAGAAATCAACAAGACATAATTTAAAATCCTGTAATTTCTGTACATATATTTGTGTATTTCCTTCCTATAATATTAGGTCTCTGTGTTTCTAT